ACACCCAGGCCAAAACAAACTGAAAATTAGAAGATGAAAACAGCAATATTGTATGTGTGAGATGGGTGAAAATCTAACAAGTGCACTTCGTCTCCTATGCCAGGGGTCCCCAACCCCTGGTCTGTGGACTGGTACTGGGCTGCGGCATGCTGGCAATTGGTCCACACAAACAAGCAAGGCCCCATCCGTGGGATGCAGTTAGCACACAAAACCACACACTCTCCGTTCCGTGGAAAAACCTTTCTCCATGGAACTAGTCCCTGGTGCCCAAAAGGTTGGGGGCCTCTGTCCTATGCCCTTTGTGCTTATCTGTACCTTCCTATTTGGTGAGAGCCACACAGAAAGCAGAGGAATTGAACCCTGTAGAATTTATTGACATGCAAATATTATACCTGTACTTCATCAGAGTTGTTTCTGGATTTTTAATTTTTAAAATATATAATAGGCTTTTAGATTCTAAAATAACCCCATTCTCATGTTACCAGAACAAACTATATTCTGCTAAGTCTCTAGTTGTTTTAGTGCAGTTTCTCATAACTCAGCCTTCCGTGCCTCTTTGTACAGGGCTTCTGCCTTTCCATATTTGTTGAAAATCTTTTTCTTTCTCTCCGCTTCTCTTATCATTTCCTTTCTCTCTGATGTTCCTGACATCTCTACAGTCCATTTTATCCAATCTGTTTTCTTGTCCTCAGATTTATTTTGTAGTCTTAAGGGATAAGTTGTTTTTTCCAATTCTTGTGAATTTTTTTCCACTAGGATTAAATCTTGTTTCCTTGTTTTGTTAAGTTCCATCTTTAAGTCTCTATTCTCAATTCTATATCCATTTATCTGTTTTATCTGCTCCTTCTCTGTTGTTGTTTTCTGGGAATTTTTTTGTTGTAAAATTAACTTAGAAATAGATTGATTTATATTTTCAAAGTTATTTCAGATTTCTTTGTGGCTTAAAGTCATTGTTGTTTGAATTAGTTGCAGTATACTATATATCTCCCCCTGTGAAGTATTTGTGTTTTCTTGATATGTTCTTTCTACATGTCTCTGATACATGATGGCCAAGAATTTGACTTTTTCTCTTCCTTTCTTTTCTCTGCAAATAGCTTTAGTGTCCCAATTAACTAGATATCTAAATAGTTCAAAAAAGATTTTTTCTGAAATTTATAATTCTCTCTTGTCTACAGCCCAGATTATTGTCTTTTTTGTCACAGCTGTTCTTTGTTGTTAAAACTTTGAAGGTCACAAGTACAGATTAGCTTTTCCCAGGTTTTGCCAAGTCTTATATTAAAGTCATTGCTGGCATAGTCTTCATCCATCACTAGGTGTCAGCAACTATTTGTTTTTCGATTTACAAAATGAAAAATTATCTTTAAAATGAGAGTATTAACCATTTAAATAATTTTAGCTTTATCCAGATTTAAGTTTTAAATTTCAGGTTTTATATTTATTTCACTTCTATATATTTTGATCCTCCATAAAAAGATTAATTCGCTGCCTCCATTAATATAAGCGTGAGGTGGAAATCCCCCTCCTTCCCTTTCGGAGGTATTTTGCTTCTTGGGGATCTTTCCAGGAAATTAAATGTAGAATAGAAAAGAGAAGATCAAATTTCTCATCCAGTTTCAAGCACGCTGTTCACAGTTGTGCTGGTTAATGCTTTTGGACTTCAGTTGCTAGTAGCTTGGGCAGGTCGATGCAATACGGCTAGCCTTTCTCCTGTTAAGTTAGAAGGCTTTCTCCAAGTCGAACGGAATGGCTGCCGCCATTCCAGAATCGCTGGAACACCCTTCTTTTTTTGACACCTCTCTGGGGCCACTTAAACCCATTTAGGGTCCCCAGGCAGGGTGAAATTAGCCACGGGGGTGCGGAGAATCTGCAAGCCCGCAACCGGTCACTACCATGCAAAACCGGAGGTCCCTGTCTGATGGAGCTTTTTAAAAAGGCAGGCAGCAGAAAGAGCAAGCAAGTGAAAAGGGAAAAAATAACATAAGGACAATAAGGGTGGACTCTGGTCAACCCTGTCCCCTTCTGCCAAGCTAACGGACAAGCACTGTTTAATACAGGATGAAGCTTGCAATAGTTGATACTGGAATCTGCATTGCTCACTAGTAAAAGGGTGTGTTGCATGTTTTTTCATTATGAAAGGAGATGAATCAGCTTCGCCATAAGGGCACAAAGGCAAAAAAAAAATAATATTGTTGTATGCCACTCAGAATAGCTTCTGGTGAGATGGGTAGCCATATAAATTTGCTAAGTAAATAAATACATAAATTCTACATGCCTGTACAGACCTAGTTTGATTATAATTATTCCTTTGTATCAATGTTTTCAAACTTGGCAACTTTAAGATGTATGGACTTCAAGTCCCAGAATTCTGAGGAATTTTGAGAGCTAGTCTACACATCTTAAAGGTTACCAAGTTTGAAAAACATTGCATTAAATTATTGTCTTCTCCTTTTCTCCTCCTTCTCCTCCTTCTCCTCTTTAGAAGTTCTGCCATTGTTGAAGCATCTAGTAGGGAAACAATATCTCTGAAACAATGAACCAATGGGTTACAGGTTGTCTAGTTATTTTGCTAAAAAGGACTAGAGAGAGCCAAAATTTAGGAAGAAGCCAGAACCAAATCTGTAGCACAGATATTTCCAGTTGTGCTCCAAGGATTTTTAAACTCAGTTTTGTGGAATCCTAAGGTAAATTAAGACATTAATGTAAAAAAATCAAGTTCACTTAAATGCAGCCAATTTTATATCACTATAACTAACAGGTTCTGCAGGCTAAAAATGTAAACAAAAAACCCTGCTCCACATAATAGCAATAGCACTTAGACTTATAGACCACTTCACAGTACTTTACAGCCCTCTCTAACCAGTTTACAGAGTCATCATATTGCCTCCAACGATCTGGATCCTCATTTTACCAACCTCAGAAGGATGGAAGGCTGAGTCAATCTTGAGGCACTCAGAATCGAACTCCTGGAGTGAACAGTGAGTTAGCCTGCAGTACTGCATTCTAACCACTGCACCACCACTGCGCAGTGCCAGGAGATGGATAGCAATAAATGTGAATTCAACCTTAGCAGAGGGATAGTGGCAAATGGTGACAACTTCTGTATTTCTAGTTCTATGACTGCCTCAGGCTATATCAAAAACAGAAGAAAGGGAACTCATAAATAGGAAAAGGAACACTAGAGAGCAGTTCTAAAGCCCGTCACAGCAATAACACAAGAAGTGGAGGGCATTTGTATAAGAGAAGGAGTTCAGAAGGAGTTCCAAACTTTTGTGATTTCATGTCAGCAGCTGTATACTTGAAACTGCAATAAAGCTCTAATAGTTGCTGCTGCTGCTGCTGCTACTGTTTTAGAAAACATGGTACTGGGAGCTTGAGGGGGTCCATTTCCTCATTTGCAAGAATCTTGCCTCCCCAGATCTCTCAGCTCTGAGCTGCAGACCTTTCAAGAAGAAAGGTGGCGTGATGAAGCCTTTTCAGCTCGCTCTCTTTCACATAAGAGAAATAGAAAACAAAGTAGAGCTTGGAGGGGGACAGGAAGATATGGATAATTAATTTCTTTTGCACAGGAGAAGGGGAGAGAAAGAATTTTTATTACTCCAAGATGTATGGTAATATTGGGGAAGACAGTTATTTGTGTTCTCAGCATTTCAGTGTCAGGAAGCTTGGAGATGATCACAGGCTGTCCTCAAAATCCTTCTGAAGGATAAGGAAGTGACAGGTGATATGACAGGGCAAGAGGCATTTGCATTCTACTGTACTCCCACTTTCTCAAGTGGGAAGGGAGATTGCCACTTCTGATGTAGGGGAGCCAATCAGAAGTATTTTGTTCTCAACGGCAGAAGCACCTTGTTAACTACAACTCACAGACTGATTTCGATATCCTAGAAACAAACTGTAACCTACATCCTTTCCATATGTGCCTCCTGAGAGTTGAGTCTGTTCTCTATTAATCCAAATTTATAATCCATTAAGGAGTAATCGATTATTTAGCTTTGATCCATGGAAGCCTAAATCTCCAGCCTCTTTCCTTGTTTGTCCTATCCTGAGGGCAAATGAAGCCAAATTAGCTAAAAGCATGGGAAACAGAATCTTCTTTATTGTTATGTAACAACAACAAAGATGTATCATTCTAGAGGCACAATCATAATCCTTATTTGTACCTTATTTGTGTGCAGAAGCTCTGCAGCTGAGCTGGCAAGTAGTTTCTATAGAAATATGTGTTTCTGCTGCAATGCGTGAGAGCTCTAAATACTGCCCGATATGACTGCAACCTCCATTAATTTCAGGCACTAAAAAAGTGACCTAGTCTTTAGTAATAATGTGCTGGCTGTTGAAGGAATGAAAAACAAGGTATGTGATTCATCTGTTACACATTAGTGAGTAGTAGCAAAGGGGATAGAAACCAACAACTCCAGAGAAGCACAAAAGAACAGCAACAGAGGTGTAAAGAAAAATATGATTAGATGCCCTCAGATTCTTTCCCAATATAGTAATTATTTTTCAGACATAATTGATTCAGAACACAACAATCTTCTACCTGGAGGGAAGGTATAATCTTAAATACAGATGTTTAGTAGAGAAGCAAAGTAGTTATGCTGGAGCACTTATAAGGATGCATTACTCCCATATGAAGAATCTTGTGTATTTGCCTCAAAAACACGAGAAGTTGTTTTTTTTAATAGGCAACACCTCTGTTTTGAATATTGATGTATTTATATAGGATGCCTCAATGTGCTATGTCTTCCTAATACCTCTTTTATCTTCTGATATCTCTTCCTAAGTAACTTTTCTCCACTACACAGCACTTCCCTAGTAAGTGCTAACCAGAACTAAACAACCTCCCTCTGAGACCTTAATTAGTTGATTAGAACCCTCCCACTCTGGGCTGTTGCCTGAAACTGACAGAGCCATAATGAGTTACTTAATCAGTTAATCCATTGGGAGACTTGAAAGAACTGGTCGGGGAAGATATCAGAGAAAATCTATGAGGTTGCTGGGGAGTAAGATTGACTTCATGGCATGTGATCAATTAATTAATCAATTAACCACACTGAAGAAACCAGTCCTTCTAATGTTGGAAAAAGTAATTTAATGTAAGTATTATTTCCCTCCACTGTTGCTTTTCTTGCCATACAAAGAAAGTTAAACAGTGTATCCCTCTTTCCCCTCTCATTTGTCCTCCTTTTTCTGGTTTGTAACTAATATTTGCAGAAAACACATTGACCACATGTACAGTATGTGAATCATCTTCAGGAACTCTCTGAGCTGTTGCCAACTGCAGTTTAGGCAATCTACAGTACTAAATAAATTAAACAAAATGAAATGTAACAGAAGTATTAGGTTATTATTTATGTATTATGTGTTTAAGTAATAATGTTCCACTCAGCACAGAGTTATTGCAGGGCAAGGCAGAGGGGTGTAAGCACATGGCACACATCTTCTGTATCTTCCACTCTTATTTGGGGTAAATTCCTGCAAACAAATATTAAGGAAAGTGGATAGATTTAGGGAGCTTCTATCCTTGCTTTGTCCTTTTGTAGAAAGCTTTGTTGAGAGATTATTTCTTTGGCCATAACTGCAAGAGTTTTATGGGGTTGTTGGCCATTCTTTGTTCATTTCTTTAATTTGCTGCACCTTTTAGCTTTTTATTGAAATGCTAATTACCATCTGCTTTAAGATTTCTTCTAGATTCTTTTGTTAGAGAAAGTTGGTTGAGTAGCAACAAGGAAAAGCTTTTGCTGGGCTACAGTTTTATCTCTGGAATGCCCGCACTTCCTTAGTACTGATGGTATTAAGATTTTATTGGCAGATTAAGACTTTCTTATTTATATAAGCATTTTGCCCGTGACATTAGTTTAAACCTCCATTGCACTATATTTTTATAATTTCATTTTCTAACATTGTTTTAATTACAGTATATGGTGAGGAGTTGTAGTTGTTGTAGTTCCAAATGTCTAGAGGGCGCCAGATTGCCTTCCTCTGTTTTAAATATTAGCCACATGTTAAACATTAGACTTCATTTTATTTTAATTGATAATAATAAGAGTGTAAGATCTCAGAATGCTGCTAAAATAGGAGGCCTGTGCACTGCAAACTGCAGAATACGCAGCAAAGCCTCAATAGGCTTCTGGCATCTGCTCAACTTACAGAAAAATATTGGAACTAAGAGCAATTGACACAAAGTGCCAATTAAAATCGATCTATCTACTTACCTATTCACTTGGATATAACTCCATGACATAATAATTCTGCCTCTAAAATTACTTCATTTGTTATATTTGTATTTGGAGGAAAGCAATGTCTGAAGCTCCATGGAAAACTATAGCACAATGTAGACTATGTTTACATAAATATTAAATTTGGAAGTATGAACAGTTACTTAGGGAGTGAAAAGTAGTTAAATTCTGATTAACAATGGATATACTGTATGTGTTTTGAATTGATACCAGCCTTCTCCAACGTGCTTTTCTTCAGACTTTGTAGATTTCCTCAACAGTATACATAGGAATTGAAGCCCAAACATTTGGAAGGGGGCAGACATGCGTTTGCATCTACCATCTTGGTTTTTATATCTCATTGTCTCTTCAGTGCCCCTGATCTCACATCTACTCATATTTAAATCTTGCTAATTTCATGGGATTACTCAAATTTCAGAAGCATTTAGCAGTTGATCAGTTATAACAATCTTTCTTTCCTTATAACTTGTAGATAAGGGTAAGATGGTGGTTTAGAGAGCTACAGTGTTTTGAATACTTATGAGGTGCTTCTCAAAGATCACAGTGCTTTTTAAATTGTCTAACCTTTTTTAAACTAAATCTGTCAGGTAGCTTGGTATGTTTATACCCATTCAATAGTTTTAATAGCAATAGCAATAACACTTAGACTTATATACCACTTTATAGTGCTTTACAGCCCTCTCTAAGTGGTTTACAAAATCAGCACACTGCGCCCAACAATCTGGATCCTTAGTTTACCAACCTTGGAAGAATGGATGGCTGAATGAACTTTGAGCCTTTCAGGGTCAAACTGCTGGCAGTCGGCAAAGTTAGCTTGCAATACTGCATTCTAACCACTGCACCACCATGGTTCTTTAAGGTGAATAACTGAAATTAAAACAACTCAAGGTTCTCTGATTTACATATATCTACACAATTTTTGATGAAGGCAACATGGGAAATACACCTTTTCCTTCTGTTGACAGGGTGACTTTGAGCCTTATTTTGCAAAGGACAATATTCCATTTGAAAGGCTATCTGATAGCAATCTCCTAAGGTGTTCTCTCACTGAAGCTCTGAACAGTCTGCTCAATTAAAAAAAAAAGAATCATATTAAGAAAGCAAGACCACTGACCTTGAAGTGGCTATCATTAATTGCTGGCCAAGCAGCAGACTGAGTAGACATACAAGTCATACAATCTCCTGCATTATTTTGAAAGATGTGGTACTTTGATTTAAATTCTAGTGATTATTTTCAATCTCTGGAAAAGTATCTAATGCTGGGAAAGGTGGAAGGACAGAGAAGAGGATAATGAAGAGCAAGGTATGTGGACTTTGGGAGTCTTGAAAAAGCAGGTTAGGGATAGATCATAATAATAGAAAATCTATGTGGTTGCTAGAAGTAAAAAATGACGATGTCACATAATCATTTAATCAAAATTATTTCCAAATTTGCATATCTCTCCCAATAAGCATATTAATTACTTTATCTATCATGGATCTGTTGATTTTATTTCTTAGATTCCCTTCAGTGTTGCAACCAATTATTCTGTGGATTTATAATGCATCTATCATTGCAGGGTGATATTAAGCTTTTGTCAGGGAACTACACAGAGACACTCATACAAAGTTGTAGTTTTATATAAATAAATATATTTTACATCTATATATATATACAGGAAACGAGATAGTCAGGAAAACAGGAGCATCATGAGGTAAATCACAGAGAACACAGAAGAAAAAGGTGGTGGGGGGAGGGAAACCCCCCCTCCACACCCATAGCAACCAATCACAGTGCAGATTGCTTCATGCAGCTCTCTTCAACCAATCAACCACAATTGTGTATTCTGGCTCACTGCACAACCCCTCTGCTCCAGCTACCGTACTAAATTTAAATATCTTAACAGCTTTTCATCCAGAATCTTCTGTCAAGGACTGGGTTCTAGGAGAGCCTGAATTTATTTTTTTTTATTTTTTTGAGAAGGAAGTTAATTGAGTTTGTTCCAATATCCCCAAAGAATCTCAATGGAAAAGCTTTGTGAATACCATCATTTCTCTTATTCCCACACACAGACATTTCATTCCATTCTTATGCAACCTGTCAGCTTGCACACCAATCTACTGACTCTGTTAATGCCCCTGGCAGATTGGTGAGCTGTTAGCCACACTTTGTATAACTCATCTTTGGGGGCAATTATTATGATTTTTTAAAAAATTGAATGCAAACAAAGACATTTGCTTCAGGAGATTGACTCAGGTTTAATAGAGGATGTTGCTCTTCTCTCAATCCTTCTTGGCCTACAAGGCATAAACATTCTATTTAATTCAAAATGTAAGTATTTGCTCAGGATCTTTATTTTATAATTAAAGATCATGGGCTTTATTAGTCATGAGATATTAGATAAAACTAACCTTGTTTTTTCACTGGAAATTTTTGGATATTCCTTCTATGTTCCTAGAATTTATAATATGAATAAGTGTATACCTTTGAAATTTAGGTACCTTGTAGGTACATTTATTAGGATAGTAATTTTAAAAAATCCAAGGATATAGCAATCATTAGACTGAGCTACTAGAGCTTCCACAGGATTCTCTCTTTATTGATTTTTTTTTCAATTACTCTTCAACATATAAGCACTATATCAAGCAAGGAATAATCTGCAAATGATAAAGGGAACATTCTGATAGTTCCTGGGACTAACACAAAATAAAATTTAAAATAATAAGACAATTTTGTACTGGTGGTCCCTGACGTAGAACCATGATTGGCTTCAGAATTTCTGTTGCTAAACAAGGCAGTTGTTAAGTGAGTTGTGCCTGATTTTATGAACCTTTTATTGCCATAGTTGTTAAGTGAATTACTGCAGTTGCTAAAGTGAATCATGCAGTTGTTAGATAAATCTGATCTCCCCAACTGACTTTGCTTGTCAGAAGTCAACTGGGAAGATCACAAATGTGATCACATGATCCTAGATACTGCAAACATCATAAATACATGCTGTTTGCCAAGCATCAAAAATTTTGATCATGTGACTGTCAGGATTATGCAATGGTTGTGTCACTTTTTAAAATGCAGTTGCAATTTTGAACAGTCACTAAAGGAATGGTTGTAAGTCAAGGACTACTTGTAAATCTTCTGCAGTTACTCATTTGGAATAAGCACTGGAATGGATCCAACAAGAACCTGTTGCTAAAGCTGGGCAGAAATCTATTGGTTTAATTACTGGAAAGCAGCCTGGTTGTCACCCACTGTCTACCAGCCTGGTGTCCTCTATATATATTAGCCTTCATTCCTATGTGTCCCAGGCTGTTGAAAAATGGGTCCAACATTTCTGTGTACTGTCAAGTTTGGGAATGTTGCCATACTGAGTCACTCCAAAGGGAGAAAATTGCTCAGTGGTTGGTAGAAAGCCCAACTTTGGCCATGGGGTTTCTCAATCGTATTATGTAGAGGAGAACACCTATGGGTGAATTTTGGGCAACCTAACTTTGGCAGATTATTTTTCAGGACAGAGATACCCCTTGAATTTTCTGGCTTACAAGAATAATTGTTACCAGAGTGCCTCCTATACATTGCTGAACAAAGAGACACAATACAAGAAGATCTATGGATTTATTTATTCAGTTTCTATGGCCACCGATCTCAAACAAGTGACTGCGTGGCGAACAATCATAAATTCAATGAAAACCAGGTATGAACTCAATACAAAAATAAATATTTATAGTAGCCAAGAAAAATACCACACTAGTATAACCAGGAAATTGGGCCCTTAATATATTCAGGATTCAAGGCCTGAGCACATAACTAGGTTTTCAAGCCCTTACAAAAGTCAACAGGGTCAGGGCCATCCTAACCTCTGGAGAGAGAATTTTTCAGAGGACAGGGACTACAGCCTGAGAAGGCATGCCTCCTGTCCCTGCCAGCCAATGTGTCTTGATTGATAGAATCCAGAACAGACCCATCCTGTTGGGCTAGATGTACATGTACACCTTGGGGAATAATGTATTTAAGTTTAACAGAAACAGAATATAATTTGCCATAGTAAATGGAGCCTGCTCAGACTATTACACAAGCAGTAACTATTGAGGGGCAGATTCAAGACCTTCGCTGTCCTTTCTTCTGGTTTTTTTTATAGTAGAAGTTCATTTAACTTTGACAACTCAATCTTTCTGAAAAGTAGTCTAGCCATGTATCCTGCTTAACAACTTTATGTAAAAGAATGACCTTTTGAAGGTTGTTCACTCTAAATCCATTTTAAAGACAAAACATCTATACAATTACATGGATGCTGGAAGTTGTCTCTAGAGGGTACGTACTTAGTTCACACGGGGAGTTGCCAGGCTTGTTGGGTGACTTTAGTCTGTCTCAGGGACAAGTTAGGGAACACAATTTTTTCACTATGTTGGCATATCAGATCAGTTGTATTTGTATTATCTTCTATTTGAACGACATATGTTCAGGTTTAGGAAAAGCAAGTTCACTAACTCTCTCATTGAAATCAAAGCAGTCTGTTTCACCACTAACTGAATGAAATATTGGCTCACAGCAGAAATTCAAAGATCAAAAGACACAAATTTAATCCTCACATAACTTGATAATTTCTTTACAATCTTTCAATGTGATTTATGCATGTCACTGATAATGAGATAATGGATATAAACTAGACTTTAACTTTGTGGTAAAGACATTACACACATACACACACATACACACACACACACACACACACACACACAAATAATTCATGTAAGCTAGTTTTCTTCATATTCCCAATAAGAAAAGCGAGAAAAATGAGTTTTTATTAAACAAATAAAATAACAGAACTCTTCCCTGCCCATTTTTCCCATCTTAACATGTTCATGTTGATTTCACCTCTGTTTTTTTTTTTTCCTGCTCTATCTATTCCAAAGATTAGGGATTCCTTCCTTCTTCTGAGGATGTTCTATGGAGTTTTGTCTTAGCCTCCCGATACTGAGTTCTGTCACTGCACAAGTTTCCAGCTGCCACTATTGGTATCTTCTGTGGGTTGATTGGGACCCTAATGTGCAAAACTAGCAAGAGGTGCACTTTGTTCCTTGGATAAATATCATTAAAAGAAGAGTTTAGAAAAGCCATAATTGTATCATATTTATATGAATAGTTGCTCCAGACAATAGTAACTAAATTATCCTGAAGAAAAACACATTAAGTCAAGAAGAACATGTGCATAATACCTAAAAAGATTGAGTAATGGAAAAATTCATTTGCTGTTTAGACATTTAATGCTTAAATATTCTTATTTCGTCCTCACTGGACCCAAGTAATTGTCAAGATATCTCATTCTTTCTAGCCATGGTGGAATTAAAAGAAACAATAAGAAGAAAGCTTGATCCTTTATGTGTCAATAGATTAAACAATTATATCTTTTAGTGTTAAAATCCAGTTGTACATCACTAAGAACACAAGCCATAGAAACTTCTCATGATTACTCTGTCCCAGGATAATTATTTAAAGAACATTCAATCTTCATGCAGTTGAAGGTCAGTTGATCTTAGGAAGCTGAAAGAAAGGTATTCTTGTAGTGTTAATTCATCCAACAAAGTGAAACTCAAATAGTTATTTCTTGATCCACGGCATCCTACAAACTCAAACTAACCAACAAGGTGAACAGAAACTTCCAGTTAAGCAAACAAATATTTTGGTCTTGTTGGCTCTGTTTCCACTGACCTGATTGGGATATGTGTAACTATATCTAAAATATCACAAGGAGATAATTGAATTGGATCACAATTAATTTAATTGTAGGCAATAGTCTAGTATTCAGCTAGTACTAACATTTATTGTCTTAGTAAGGTAGTCCCACACTTGCCTATGGTTGGCAGACAGAAAACAGGAAATCTCAGGTTATAGGCTAGAGAGGGAATATGAAGAAGTAGTAGCTAACCATTTCAATACCATATCCAAGAAAACGTCATAGACATCAGAAATCAGATTCAAGAACATCTTTTTCTTTACATTTATTAAGCTATCATGCCAAAGCTCTGCCGTTCCAATATTGGAATAATGCTATTGATACAGTATATAATCTAACTGCTAGAATGGTAATTGTTGTTTTAGAATTTTAAAAATTTAAAAGAAATGCTAAGCCTTTTGATTAAAATGATATAAATTACAGTACATTAGACTCTCATAGTAGTACATTTATATATCTAACTTACATATCTAAGTTGGATATATCTAAGTTGGCTGTATTTACAATAGACTTGATAAAACTGAATGAATACATCCACTATGTTCCATTGATTTTACTCAGTCTGCTGTAACATGAAACAGTAAGAATCCAACCTATTATAATATAGTGGTACCTTGGTACTCATCGTTATTGATTCTGGGAGGTGTGATAGGTACCAAAAATGCTGAGTACCGAACAATTTTTCCCCACAAGAATAATGTGGTGAGTCACAAAGCAGCCAACACTGACAAGTTCTAGCTTGTGTGTTGAGTACCAAACAAAAGTACTGGGACAACATTTTCACATCAAAATGCATTGAGTACAAAATTCAATGAGTTTTAAGGTACCATTGAATAGATTTCCTCTTCTCTCTACTGTAAAAGATCTATATATTTAAATTTAAATATGTTTTAAATATTTATATTTAAATTTAAATATTGTCAGGAAAACTGTTGACTGTTTTATATAAATAGTGTGCTTTCAGTGGCATGATATAAAAAAAGTGGTGTGTTTCTAATATTTTGACATATATTTTGGTGAAGTCTAATCATATTATATTGATGGCCCACATATATTGATTGAACAGAAGAGAGCAGGATCTGTCTGTAAAGCCCTGGCACTAATGCAGGAAAATGCAAATTTATGGTGCAAAGAAAGACATATATTCAGCTTTTACAGGATTCAGAGAAATAGGTAATAGGCCAGAATGATAGTTCTTGAGTTATGATTTATTGAACCTGAAATTTCTGTTGCTAAGCAAGACATTTGTTAAGTAAGTTTTGTTCCATTCTATGATTTTTCTTGCCACAGTTGTTAAGTGAATCACTGCAGTTCTTAAGTTAGTAATATGTTGAGTGAATCTGGCTTCCCCATTGACTTTGCTTCTCAGAAGGTTGCAAAAGTTGATCTCATGACCTTGCAGATCTTATGACACTGCAAGCGTCATAAATATGAGTCAATTGCCAAGCGTCTGAATTTTGATCACATGATCATGGAGATGCTGCAACAGTCGTAAGCAGTGGTGGGAGTCAAATATGGGAGCAACCGGTTCTCTATGTGGATGCCACTTCCAGAAGTCCATTCTGGGCCTGGGCAACAAAAAATTAGCTACCGGTTCTGCCGAACTGGTGTGAACTGGCTGAATCCCACCACTGGTCGTAAGTGTGAAAAATGGTTATAAGCACTTTTTTCAGGTGCCTTTGTAATGTCAAACGGTCATTAAATGAGCTGTTGTAAATCGAGGACTACATATACTAGATGAAATCCACTGCAAAAATTCCTTATAAGTTTCAGTATTATCTGCAATTTGATTCTCTCGGCTGCCCAGACTTCACAGATCATCCCATTAGAACAGTGCATTATTCTCCTTCCCTGAATTTCTCCTGTCACAATGAAACAAGGTCTTAGGGAGTAGGAAGGAACTTCTTGGGAACCCTAAAGCCATAGCAGCATATACATAATATATAAATATCATTTATGATGCATTAGAACCTAAGAACACAGGTGTAAATTGAAAGACTCATGCAACCTATGCACAATTGATTTACATCTACTGTACTGTACTGTACTGTACTGTACTGTACTATACTATACTATACTATACTATACTATACTATACTATACTATATACTGTATACTAACTATACTATTGTTATGTCCTGAGCCTGTGGAAGCAGGCTCGGGGCATTGCAAGCGGTCCCTGGCAGGTGCAAGCTGCCCGGGACCAGACAGGCTGTCGCCAGTACTTGTGCGCATGCGCAAGTGCTGGCGCGCCAAAAGTTGCAGATGACCCGGGAATGGCCTATATAAGAGGCCGGGAGTTTTGGGCGTCGTCGGCGTCTTGTAACCAGTATGCTGAACTGAATAAAGCGGTTCCTGAGAACTACAACTGCCTCTCGTGTCATTGCCATTTCGCGAAGGACGCAACACTGGCGACGAAGGTGGGATGCCTTACATCGACAGAAGAAAGGTGTAAGCTTACCCGAGTGAGTCCTGAGCGGCAGGAACGGCGTTGACTCAGCAGCTACCCGCCAATCCAGCGAGCATCGGGGGTAGGCTGGCTGATAGACCCTTCCTTTCTACAAAATGGCAAAAATTGGAAGGCTTTCGGAATTCGACGTCTCACATCCGGAGAGATGGGAGTCCTACGTAGCCAGGGTGGAAAACTATCTCAAAGTAAATCTAGTGAGGGAAGATAGTTTAAAGGCTGCCACCCTGCTGTGCGTTTGCAGTCAAGACGCATTCGAAATCGCTGAGAACATAGCAGCACCTGCACCCCTAGAATCTGTCAGCTACGCAGATCTCAAAAAGCTACTAAAGGAGCACTTCCAGCCCAAGATGTCCGTCATCGTGTGGTGCCACACCTTCGAACAGAGGGATCAACGACCCGGAGAATCAGCCAAGGAATATATTGCCGCGCTGAGAAAAGCCGCTAAACACTGCGAGTTCAAGGACCTCGAAGAAC